GGGGGGGGGGGGAAACGATCTTGAACCCACTGCAGGTGTATTTGCAAAATGGCCAGCTCCCTGGGTCTCAAGGAGTGGTCTGAGGCCCTTTCTGTGTTAAGGTACAGTGCAAGTTCCTGCCCAGGGGCCCCTAAACCGTTCCAGCTTCTCAGGAAAGGCGGGGCACCTGGCCAGCCGAACACTGTGGCTCTCAACATAAGTGGCCCAAAGCTGTCCTTCCCTGTGCCCTGCATGTACAGCTGGGCTCTTCTGAATCTTTACCACACAAACCAGGGAGACCCTCCAGTCCACAAAGGAATATCTTGATGCCCAATCCTCCACCAAAAAATTGTAAAAATATATGCAAAGCAATGCATAGGCCCAACAAAATTGTTTTCATAATCAGCAAGTCCCAGTTGGACCCCAGGAAGCCCTTCCCATCCCCTAGCGGTCAGGTGAGTGAGGGGTGGGTCGCCAGCCACTGCTCGATGCCCACTGCAAGAGCAATAAGGATTTTTAGGGGCATTATGACTTGAGTCAGAATACACAGCTGCCCCTGAAAGTCCCTTATTTTTCTTGCTGTCCTTCAATACTCCAGGTGAGTCAGCAGTCGACTGGCTGGCCCAGGTGAGTGAAGATGGTGTCCCCTCACCTGACACTGGCCCACCTCCCCACAGCCCAGGGGAAGCTCTATGGTGGGTGGGTGGCTGCAGGGTCTCCACAGTGACAATTTTCTCCAGTGCTTGGTCTGGCCTCACTGCCCCTAGGACATGCCCAAAAATGACTAGCCTTTGTTCCACCCAGAGACAAGTCAAAACCCAGTGCCTTCTGCCCATGGGGAGCCATGGATTAGGGTCCTGGAGGAATCTCGAGTGGACAGGTGCAGCCCACGAACCAGGGAATGCAGTAAGACCAGGAGAAGAGTCGTCAGGACCTACCCTGCAGAGACCGAGCTCCTAAATGACAGTCACGGGCCTCACACTGACACATGAACAGAAGAGAGCCAGCGTTAACTGCCTCAGATGCCAGGCCTGGTTCAGGTAGAGAAGAAAACCCTGGGAAGTGCCCCAGAAGACCAAACCGAGCCAGAAACCCTGGGGGGGAGCCGCTCCTCTCCCTAAACCCTCTTAAAACAGCAGCTTAAAGACACAAGATTCTGAGCAGACAGGACCTGAGCTCTGGCTCAGCTTCCCTCCAGCCGGCGTGGCCTCGGTCACCCTGTCTGTAAAACGGGCCCAGAAGGAGCTAAGCTCCCACTTCAAAGGAAAGGCAAGAGGAAATGAGAACATTGCAGCTGTCACATCCAAAGGAACTGTTCCTGAAAAGCTTCTAGTCACGATCCTCTGTCCCCAGTGGGAGGCAAGAGGCTGCAAACTGAGAACAGCGCGCCCTGGGGGAGCTGCAGCCTGAGCCGATCTCAGTCCAGTCCCACCCCCATCAGAGGAGCTCTGGAAAAGGCAACAGCTTCCCGGGGGCCTGAGTAGGAAGGCAGGTCCGCCCCCTCCACCAAAACAGCCTATGCTGAGCAAAGATTTGTGTGTGTCCCCACAGTTTTCAGGTTCAAATCAATGAGCTGACAGGCTCTGCTGGAAGACACGGGCAGGGGGAAAGGGGGGGTCAGAGAGTGGCCCACAAGACAAAGGGCTGGTGACTGACTACTTACGAGAGGGATGAAAGGGCTTCCGGAATCAGAGCCTGGTTTCGGGTCCTCCTCTATGGCGTGATCCCCTCTGCCCCCAGGTCTCCAGAGCATCAGAGGCCGTGATCAGGACGACCCCAGCAGGCCACTCCACAGACCCCAGGACTTTGACTCCTCTGAACTCCATCACAAGGAATGCCACCCACTGACAGGTAACTTGTCCCCTGAAGCCAGGTCATTCTATCCAGGGCCCCGGTTTGGCTGAAATCTGCTCAGCTGACCACCAGGAGCCTACCCACCCAGCCTGGCACTGTGTCCACTCCTCAGGGGCTTGGTCATCCTTCCGGCTGTGTGTGCAGGACCTGAGGCCACTCAGGACACAGATGGCTCCCCTGCTGTGGTGAGAAGCACAAGCCACAGAGGACAGACCTGGCGCCACTATCTGCTTATTACCTTGATTCTCAGCACCTCCCTCAGCCTTTGCATCTGTAAATAGGAATAGATAAGCCCACTTTGCAGGGTGATGTGAGAATTGAAGGGAAGTTTACAAAGCCCTGAGCTGGCTCCTTAACAAAATTGTATTTCTTCTCCAAGTACCTTTCCCCCTTCCCCTTCAGACTCCCTGGGGGTCTCCAAGGACTCAGGCCACGGAGCATTAGCACTACCCTGCACCTTTACCCCACACCCCAGGTCCTGTCTTGTTCAGACTGAGAGGAAACCGTGCTGGGAACCCCAGCTCCCCGGCTATGGCTTCAGTCCCCTCAAAACATTATGGCAACTGTCACCTTGCCCAAAGTTTTCTACCCTAACCAAGATCACGGCAATATAGGCCACTAGCAAAACCCAAGCTGTCCACACACACTAGGATCTGAGCCATCTGAACCCTTCAACAATGTCACCATATCATGCTTTGCCTCCTCTACAGCCCCAGGTCTGAGCAGCCTCTGCATGAGCTGGTGCCGTGGCCTGGGGTACCCCAGCCCCAATGCAGTGGAGGGGAGTAAGAGGGCGAGACCTGGCTCACCACATACTAACCACAGAACCTTGGGCAAGCTGCCTCACCCCTCCCTGCTTCAGTCTGGTCCTTTCTGAGATCAATCGGGTCGTTGGAAGATTAAATGAGTTCATTCCCATCAGAGGCTGAGAAACGCGCCTGGCACAAAGCATTTGATTGGGTTAGCTCTCATGGTGGTCCCCTGCTTTGTCCTTCAAGATTCAGTTCACCTCTTCTGGGTGCTTTCCCTGACCACGGCTAGAGCCCCTCCTATCAGCCCACAGGCAGCATGGTCGTGGGACGACCTGCATCACATACACTTCTTAATGACGCCGAGTCTCGAGCCCCTGAGGTTGGCTGGGGGGCCAGGGAGTCTGCAATCCTAACAGGCTCCTCCAGTGGTTCTGAGACATCTGCGTTTGAGAACCACTGGTCTGTACCACTGTATCACCATGGTACAGGCAAGGCAGTGCCTGGCCTAGGTGCTCAGACGTGAGGTCAGGGGGGCTGTGCCAGGCTGTGGTCAGAGGATTCCCCCATGCCATGCTAGATGAGTAAAGGTGACCCACCTGGCCTTGGTTCAGACAGCAGAACTAACCCATCACCAAACACACCAGCCCTCTTTCCAGCTCCTCGGGCCTTCCCTGAGCCCTTGCTCTGCCTGGCTTCTGCTGAACACACATTGATGACCAAGGGGCTGCAGCCCCCTTCTATCTACTGGGGTAGAAAAGCCATCAGGGCTTCCAGGGGAGCTGCAGAGTGAGGAGAGATGCGTTAGGGTCTGAACACACAGACCCTAAAATAGCCAGCAACCCACAAAACCACGATGGGAGGAAAAGAAAGGCCAAGCAGATATATCACCCTTGTTGGGCATTTTCTCTAGAAACGAAACTATG